AGGAAGAGATGAAATGCACTAAGGCATGTCAAATCTACGGGCAAAAAAAGGGTCTCAATAAATGATAGTGGTATCAGCTTGGGTTATTAGTTACAATCAACTGGGGACCAAACAAATTCTATTTCCATGTCACAGCTTTTTGCGTAATCATCCATTATACTTCTGACTTGTTCATTTAGAAGACTATGAAATTTCTAATGAGATAATTTGAAGTATTCTTTACTTTTTTATATAAATGCAAAGATAAATGTTAAACATGGTCAGAATGCAATTGTTTGGGGCCCCTTATAGAACTAATTTAGAATATAAATGACGGAGGCTGATGTGGGGAGTCTATGTTTGATCTGTAAAGTCTGACAATCTGAGAAACAAGCAGTGACTTGACAGTGGATAAAAGAAGAAGAATCAATATTAGTAAACTCTGATACCATTGTTGATACAGGGTGACTTTAGATAATGTTGAACCAACCTGGAGCTGTGGGAAAGGGTACATGAAGAATGTAGATCTGGTAACAGTGGAAAAGTGGTTATGGTCAGTCTTTGAGGGTTATGGTCAGACTTCTCAAAAATATAGTAACAGAGATTAAATTTTTTTGTTATGTTTTTAGGTTTGGGTACACCATGTAAAAGGTACTACCTCATATATTTTAACTATAAAATAGGTAAAATAATTCTCAAATCCTAAATTATAATGGATTTATTAGTCAAGTCAACCAGACAGTTGTTAAATGAACTTTTCTTTTTAGGTTGGGGAAAAATATTTCTTGGCTTTTAAAGAAATATGTACAAGGGCAGGCAAAAAAAAAAGGAGACATATGTAATACTCTTTGTAATACTTTAAGCAATAAAACAATTTAAAAAAAGAAATATGTATATTTTGGATATTTAACATGTACTTTATAGATATTCCTAAACCCAGAACCAATATAAATATATGTTTATCTGTGCTCTCCAGCTGGTATCAAAGTATGTCTTGAAAAGTGACTACTTTTAGAAGTTCCTTAGTAGAATGTTGTACTATCCTAATTATTCAACTGATCAATATTTTCAGCATTCCTACTATATTCCAGGTCCTGTGTTAGGACCTGGGATTCAAAGATAAATGAGATACAGTTATTGCTGCTAAGGATCTCACAGTCTAAGGGGCTCCAAGGAAATATATGATAAATGCTACAGCAGGTGTTTGCAGGAAACTGAATGGGGATGGAGTCCATAGCTTCGTGTGAGGAGAAAAAAAGGAATGCTTCCTGGAAAAGGTGTCTGAGCTAATCCTAAATCACTGCATCAAAATTCTAAAATTTTAGGACCAAGAGAGCAAACACTTGTTCTGTAAATGTATATAAAAGAGATGGTCAGGCCCTAGCTGGTTTGGCTCAGTGGACTGAAAGGCCCCAGGTTCAATTCTGGTCAAGGGTACATGCCTGGATTGCTGGCTCAATCCCCAGTGTGGGGTGTGCAGACGGCAGCCGATCAATGATTCTCTCTCATCATTGATGTTTCTGTCTCTTTCTCCCTCTCCACTTCTCTCTGAAATCAATAAAAATATTTTAAAAAAATAAATGATCAGGATAATAAATCACTTTGGAATGCCTAAATTTACTTTGTTAGTATGTCTATCAAAAAATTTCAAATTGCTACTAAATGAATAAATATAACATAAATAAGATATATGAATATGATATAGTCCAGAACTTTTCCCACAAAGCTCAAATAAAATGGTAGTGAGTTTTCCTTGGCTTTCTCTATTCATCATAAGAATTGTTTACTGCAACCAACAGCACTTAATTATCTTTCCTTTTCCTGGTAGGGATATTGGAGAGTAAATGATACATGTGAAGCTTAGTATAGGGCTGCCACAGAGGAGAGTTCAATAAAAGGTAGTCTCCCTCTCCAGTTCAAGGTAGATCTTCTATGTCCCTTTACTATAGTACCTTTGCAATTAATGTTGCTCTAATAAATATTTGAGCTCTAACTTTACAGCTAATTACCAGTACCTACCAAAGAAATCTTTACCATCTCCCCTCTTCCCCATTTTCCTCAGTCCCCACCCTATTTATTCTTCTGGTAAAATTCTATAAGTTCCTAAGAAAAGACTGTCACATTTAAGTAATATTAGAAATGTTTAATCACGTATGCATGATTCATGAAACAGTTATTGGAAGTTTCTCCAAGGCAATTTCAAGTATAAATATCAAGATTTTATTATCTCTTGGAAAATAAATCCCGTAAGTATTGAGATTACACACCATTCCAAATTCCAGAGTAGGTCAAGATAAAGCAATAAATGTAGATAGAGCACACTGCCAACAGATGGCAGCACTTGAACATAAAACCCTGCTTTTCACTTTCATGTTAGATTGTGACTTGCAGAAATGCAAAACCCCAATCAAGGTGGGCAAAAGATAATGTCTACATAGAGGGCACCTAGGAGTATTTGAAATAGCCACACAACACTCAGATGGCAAGCACATATAGATGTGGTAGCTGCTACATTGCATGGTAACGAGAAGGGACAATATGAGATGAGTATTTTGAGACACAGAGGGTGTGACTTGTTAAAGATTATAAACAGAAAGAGGGCTGGGTTCTACAATCCTGAAAATGGGGGTATTCATCAAAAGTCAGAACAATGGAAACATATAAACACTAAAAATGTATTTCAGTCATACCCACAATATAACAGGAAGTTGAATATTTTTCTAAAGAAATGAAATTTATTTTTAAGTGTAGTCCATATAACCAAAGAGAGTGATAAATAATAGAAATGATCATTACAATTACTTTTTGGTAATATTTATTAATGGATTTGCATACGGCATAATGGGAAAATTATGTTTTTGAAAAAGCTTTTTGACTGGTTACCAATTTATTCTATTGTTCACTTATATAAGAAGAAATTTTCCTCATGCTTCCTGGAAGAGGTGTCTAACCACTAAGACTGGAGAAAAAGAAACCTAGATCTAAATCTCATCTCAGTCCATTTTTAGGTGTATGACCTTACCCAGATACTTAAACCCTTTGTAACTCACCTACAAAAAAGTGGTAATAGCTACCTCATAGGACTTTGTGCGGGTCAAAGAAGTAAAGCAAACAGCACATGCTTAACACATAGGATGCACTCCATAATTGAAAGCTATTATTATTGTGATTCTAGGTATCTGTCCCCCCAGTTTTTAATTATTTACCCCAAATTCCTGAAAATGCACTGCGAGGCATATTATGTATAGAGAAAGTGGCTGGGAAATTGGTAGCTGTAGTACTGATGTTCTTGCAAATACTAGAGATGACACTAAAGTTCATTTGGAGGAACTTTGCATGGAGAAAGATGCAAATTTTAGTTTCATATTATCTCTGTGTATTAAACGGTATGAAGGCTCAAGGCAAGGATCTCATGGTTAGTTTTGCTTAAAGTTTGCCGAAGCCAAAGGACTTGCTTGACCAATGCTAACCAGTCTGCCATGCAGGACCCGGAGCGTAGACTAAAGCTATGATCTTCTACTCTCTTTTTTTAAAAAAATATTTCTTTATTGATTTCAGAGAGGAAGGGAGAAGGAGAGAGAGATAGAAACATCAATGATGAGAGAGAACCATTGATCGGCTGCCTCCTGCACACCCCCAACTGGGGATCGAGCCTGCAACCCAAGCATGTGCCCTTGGCCAGAATCGAACCTGGG